GGGAAGATTCAGCTCGACATCATCAGAAAAATACGAGACGAACACCGCAAGTCACAAGAAAACCAAGAACTGTCTTGCTGAGACAGTTTGAAAGCCAAGATGTGTCACCCAACGCGTCGTCCCGCTCCTCCAGTCATCCTGTACAAGCAGGAGGACTGGGCGGAGCCATCCCGGGTAACCAAGATGCGCATACCCGATAGCACGACGTTCGAGAAGATGTACGCGACGGAGGTGACGTACTTCTTCGAGAGCATGGAGGACTACACGGCGGAGCCGTTCGTCGCCGAGATACCTGAGGTGGACTTTCTCGGTGTGACGGAGAAGAGGGACAAGCGGACCATCTATGACGCCTTCTACAACTTTGGGCGTCAGTTGGCTCTGGAGGACCTCGAGGTCATGGAGCGGCAAGGCCTGTCGTTGATGAGGTTCGTCGATAACCTCATCAAGGAAGAGACACACGGCGCGGACAATATCTTCACCCGGATATTCGACCGGCAAAAGCAGTTCAAGGCTGCAGGCCTCATGTGGCTGCCCTTCCTCGATGGGTCCGGGATCACGGTCAAGCGGGGGTATGTGCCCAAGCCCCCCTTTGAGCCGCTTCCCCTCTACGACGGGCCGGTAGAGGACGACGTAGAGCCGCCGCCGTACACGCCGGCTGTGGAGGAGGTTCCGGAGACCGTCGAGGAGGAAGTCGTCGAGGACGTTAAGAAGGAAGACGCCCCGGATGTCAGGGAGGACGAGGACGAGGATGGCAAGGCCGCCATGGACGAGCCGCCATCGTACGAGGCCGCGGTTGCGCAGGCCACTGCGCTCAAGGCCGAGGCCCCCGCAGAGGTAAGTATGGAGGATCCGGATGCCCCATCCGTGGAACAGACTGATTCCGAGGTAGAAACCGAGATATGGCATGATGCCAAGACTGGCCGCGAAGGCGAGGTTCAGCTTGAAGCGGCCGCTACGCCTGCGGGACCCTCCTCTCGGTCGGAGAGGTGGCTGCGCCAGATCCGGCGTATCTTGTCGGCTGTTGTTTGCTGAGAGTAGTGCTCTCATTCGGATCGTGTACGTTGAGGCCACGTACATGAATTCGATCCGATCGTTCAGATGAATATGCTGGGATTCAGGGTAAAAGGAACTCGGAGATCTAGTAGATCAGCGTTCTTGTTTAGTTTCTTTTGTCATTTCAATCTCCCCTTCTTCCTTTCGATGTCCCCTTCCCGACGATATAGGTATCAGTCGAAATTCACAAGTCATGCAGGAAAGTTGCTCATCCCCGTAAGTGTGCCCAGTTCCAAGATGCTGCTGTGGTAGAATGGTGGCGAATGGAGGCCCGCCCGGTAGGTGACAAAGGGATCCCTATCGAGATCATCCCTAGCGAATCGATTATTCCAGTGGTTATTCTGAATTGTACTCCATGGCAAGATCAAAGAAAGATGATCGACGGATCAGTCATTGTGCCACTGTGCTCTTCGTTCTTCGACCTGAGGCCCGGGTGCCATGGGATTGGCGTGCGTGACTGACCACCCGTATTACTGAGCGGCACCGACTTTCAAGCTTGCACCGACGCTGCTACTAGCCACGAGGTCTCCGGTCTCGGGAATCCGGCGTGGAAACGCATTGGGAATGCCATCGGCCTGGGATTGTGGTAGTGTCGTAGTTGAGGATACCAGAAGAACTTAGGACTAGCAGCCAGCCAGCCACGCCTTGTGGATAGGAGGTGGCAGCTGGACCTCCGCACTCGAACTGGTCCGATGAGCAGCTGCAGAATATCTCGAGCGGGCCGGCATTCCTCCAGGGAAGAGAGCATGGGGGTCTTCAATGTGGACAAGAGCTCTGGATCCCCAGACCCGATGCGGGCCAGGAGTGGAAGTTCCTCGGACTTAGAGCTCTGGATCCCCAGACCCGACCGGGCCAGGAGTGGAAGTTCCTCGGACTTAGAGCTATGGATCCCCAGACCCGACGCTAACGATCCCCAGTCAGTCTTGACAGCTTCCGACAGCGGCCGCGAGCGGTCGGGCGATTCTTGGTTGACCCCCCTACCACTTGATCAACATCGTAAGATGCGGTGATGAAGGCCAAGCGCCACTTGTCACTCAGTATCGACAGCTTCATGACCGCAATCATTCTGTTGCATAGCTTTTGCGCTGGGTTGATGTGGTCATCGTGAGCGCCCCGTTGCTTTCTTTTACCACTGGTGTCTGGATTTTGGATCATCGAGGATGGCGTGTCCCCCGGAGCAGATACCACAAATTACCGACATGTCGCTTCAGCAGGCGGCCGCTGACAGCGGGGAAGAAGCATCGCAAACGCCGATATCAAAGGATGCCGCGAACTTCGGCGCCGGTGCAAGAGCTGGTCCCGCTGCGGATGCGGAGGAGGAGGCCGAGCTGGGCGTGTCGCCGTTGGAGAAGATCCGTACGCATTTCGGCGACCGTCCCGAATGCTTCAACCACACCATCAAGGAGGTCTCGTTCGTCTTCATGGCCACTGTGGCTACGGCAACAACGTCCTTCCTCACGGGTACTGCCATGATCGTCACCGTTCCGGTCTCTCGGGACTTGAACATGACCCAGGGGCAAATCTCCTGGATTACCGCCGCGCCCTCGTACGATTGTCCTTCTTTTCATTCGCTTCTTGTCGCAGTCTTTCCTCTCATATCCAAGTATGCAAGGCCTATGACACTACTGACGCCAGAACAGTCTCGTGGCCGGGGCCTTTCAGCTCGCCATGGGCCAGCTAGCGGACCTGCTCGGTCGCAAAGCCATGTTCCTGATGGGCATGGGCTCCTTCAGTGCCTTCGTGCTGGTAGTCGCCTTTGCGCAGAACCCGTTCTGGCTGCTGATCGTGTGCGGCGTGCTCGGCATCCCGTCGGCCATGGTCGTGCCGCCCGCCATCGGCATTCTGGGCGCCGCCTACTCGGCCCCCTCCAAGCGGAAGAACATGGCTTTCTCCGCCTTCTCGGCCGGAAATCCGCTGGGTTTCGTCTTCGGTACCATCATCTGCGGCATTGCCGCCCAGCTTTCGAGCTGGCGTGCTGCCTTTGTTACCTTGAGTATCATTTGGGCGGTCTTCACTGTCTTTGCCGTTTGGGCGGTACCGAACGTCGAGAACTTCGATCGAGCGCCCTTGCGGGAGCGGCTAAGTACTTTGAAAAGCTTTGATTTCGTGGGAACAGTCCTGACCATCTTTGGGACTGGCATGTTCACTGCTGGTTTGACGTAAGTTTGCCAATACTGGGAGGTGATCGGGACCTTTCGACCGTCCTTGAGCCCATCAAGTGCCAGCTGCTGACCGGTACCAGCCTAGGACCCCAAGACGGCTGGTCGGCGCCGCAGGTGATCGGCTTACTGGTGGTCGGTGTTGCATTGCTGGTCATCTTCGCGTTCTGGGAGCGCATATTCCCCACGCCTCTGATGCCTCCCCATATCTGGAAGGACCGAAACTTCAGCTTGGTGAGGATTCCGTCTCGCCCGATTCGGCATCGACTGACAATCGCACAGATCATCCTCGTCGTTCTCTTCGGCAACATGAGCTTCACGGCCACCGGCTTCTGGGTGGCGTACTTCATGCAAGAAGTCCAGCAGCTCGAAACGCTCACGGTGGCCGTGCACCTGCTCCCGATGGCCATTGCGGGTTTGTTGTGGAATGTAGTCGCTGGGCGCATACTGCATCGTGTCAATAACACGGCGATCATGGTGTTTGGTGCTGTCGCCTACCTGGCAGCTAGCTTGCTGTTCTCGTTTATGGGTGCGGAAAGCAGCTACTGGGCCTTTACATTCCCAGCTCTAGTGTTGAACGTAGCGGGTGCTGACCTCCAATTCAACGTGGCCAATGTAAGTCTTGCACATGCGACCCCGGAGAGCACCACCCCTTATCGATTGGGATTGAGGAACTGACGACTCGGGATGCTCCTACCTTAGATGTACGTCATGCAGTCCCTGCCACCGCATCAGCAGTCGCTCGCTGGTGGGATATTCAACGTCGTTATCCGCTTGTCCAACACTGCCGTGATGGGCATATCCACAGCTGTATTCTCCTCCATCGAGCTGAGCAGCGCGGGTATTGCTAACCCGATGCTTAAATATACCCGTACCTTCCAGGTTGGAGTTGCGCTCTCCGGGGCCAGCCTCCTCTTGGCCCCTTTCATCAAGCTCAAGACCCAGGGCAATGCACCGAAGGCCGAGGGGCAGATGCGGTCTTCGAAGCAGCCAGCGGAGGCGGCTGTCGTGCAAGAGAAAGATACGAAGAGGGAAGGGCATGATAGATGATGCGAGATAGAAAACCAAGATACCTATCCTGTGCAAGTGTGCTTCCGGTCGCCGCTTTTCGCCTCGCCGGGGGTTGATGAATAAGTGCTGTTCTTAACATGCTGGACATGTGCCTGTGCTGCCATAATGCAAGCGTCCTACTCCTACCCCTACGACGGACGATTCTGCTGCTCTTCTTGCTACCCAAGTATCTGGTTGAGTGTAGTATAGCCAGCCACTGGGCACCTGAGGTCGGGATGCTGCACGCTGGGAGGTGATCGTCCCACAGGACCACAGGTCGACCGCAGGTCGACCTGTGGCCGAAGCGCTGCTGGGGGATGGATGCACAATGCACAATTGAGAGCACACCATCTGAACTGCTCTGAATTAGCTAACCCGGCCTTCTTTTCCCAAAATAGATGCCCATTCCTTCCAGCATCGATCCTCCTTCCTACGGGTGTACCCGGCCTTCAAACTCTACTTGACGACCACGGCGGCTCCGGGTGGGTCCCGGATCACGGGGATTGATTCCCAGCGTGCGCTTTTGCGCCAACTGATGCAAAAAGTCGACCAACCGGTCATTTAATTCAAATCTTTCGTTGTTATAGAAGGTGTGCTTGCGGGTACGCGTGTGTGTGAAAAAAAATACAGTGTAAACTAAGTTGCGCCTCCACGGTCGGCCTCTTCGCCCCAGACCACCTCCCCAGCTCACCACCACGTTTTCCCATGGAATAAAATGCCAAAAAATGGCAAAAGAAAGGGCTCAATCGGGATTCGAACCCGAGGCCTCCTGCAAGAATTCGTTTCTTTCGAACTTCTGGGTGCGACCCGAAGCAGGAATCATACCACTAGACCATTGAGCCGAAGGAACAGCCGATTTTGGTGGATCAACTGTTGTTGGAGGCTGAGGTTTTACGTCACGCTATGTAACATGAACCGCTTGTGCGCAGGGTTAGTGGAGCCATTACCTGTTCCGGGGATGGGTGTGCCCTGGCCCATGGTTGGGCGTGGCGCCCACCGCGCCGCGTGCACCAAGACGCGGTATGGGCACGTTGCATGGGATCAAGAGAACCAACACGCAATGTGTAAGGTAAGGTTTGCAATCCAAATCGCTTAGTGTGCGGCACACATCAAAGTTTAGTTTCATTGCGGCCAGTGGACAAGAGCAACTAGCTCCGCCTCCGGTCGTATCAACCCGCCCGCACCAAAGCGGCTAGGGACACACCCAGAAGTTCGAAAGAAACGAATTCTTGCAGTTCGGCCTCGGGTTCGAATCCCGATTGAGCCCTTTCTTTTGCCATTTTTTGGCATTTTATTCCATGGGAAAACGTCCACCCTCCGGGGACCTTCTTCGCTGCGCTCAGAAAGTCCCCCAGAGGGTGGCGTTCTACCTATCAGCCTCTAGAAGCCTACGCCTGGCGACTTCCGGTACCTAGTTCATCACGTAGGCAAGTGGTAGGTACACTCAGCATCGACATGGTTCTCCCTCTTCAAGGTGTCTGCCGAAATCTACAGTGAGATAATCATGTTGCTAGCGGTTATACCATCATAATCAGTTTATAAGACAGTCATTCGAGGACTTGATTATCCTATTGCTTAATAAAGTAGTAGGTTAATCGTTCAGGTAGGTAGTAATTATCCCAACCGCTACATGTAGAGCGAGTTGCAGGCCAGGCGCATACTTCTGCACGGTTAGTGTAGCTGTGATCCCGCCCGCCTTAGACTTGCCACAGCAAGCTACCGACGCTAATAATTCACAAGGTACGGGACTGGATACGATACCAGTGCTGGAATCAGTGATTAAGTTGTCATCGACTCCAAAGCCATGCGCTGTCAGGATCTAGGGAGGTATCGGTCTCGGCAGTTGGAAAGATAGCGTTGCATGACCTTGAGTACCTGCGTACTCTGTACCTAGGTGCCTGCAGGTGGTAGGTTCTTGTTAGCTCCCCCAACTCGAGTTCGCCTTCCAACCCTGATCCCATAGCACAGGTCAGGACTCAGACGAACATCCGGGGATTTCAACAGCTGTTGATGGCGACAATACCGAAGACGTTCGACGCTAATTCCAATGGCACACGGGGTAACGCATGCGCGGGCGGCAGACGAGGTGGAATGACAGACAGAGTCTACAGCCAGTACCACGCGACTGCGCAGAGAAGCCAATGACGGAGTCCGCGGGACGCGTTCCATGCCTACCAGGCCGGCTGTCCCCGGACAGAGCCCGGCCAGCCCGTGGACCGGGACCTTGGCGCTTTCAAGAAACTCTAAGAAATGCATAATGCTTATTGCTGATTGCATACCTGCTACTGCTAACAACATAACCGAGTGCGATGCATTGTGCGACCTCATCCCGCAGAGTTCAGCCGACCGCCGCCGCCACCACCACCACGACCTCCTCCAACACATCATCATTGCCATTGCACCACTTGAGCTTCCTCGCCTGCGTCTTATTTGTGCACGTCTTGGGCGCTTGTCTCTGTCCCGAGAAACTCTACTGCGTCTTGTCTAGCAAGCAAGACTCGCGTACCCGCGCTACCATGCCTGTCTTCAGACGCCCGCCAAGCTGATCACAGCACACGAGACCCGTGGTCACTTTACCCTCTACCCTCCGCCTACGCCCCAACTCGTTCGAAGACTCTCAGTCGGCGCCAGTCAATTCGTAATATTCCGTCTAAGATATCCCACTGCCACGGTCTCGTTCAAGATGGCTTCTTGGGCAAGCATCATACGGGCGAAGCCCTCGACTCGCGCAGATACCCCTGAGTACATATCCGACGAGTCGCAACTTGCGCCCATACCTGAGATCCCCCGAGACATCGCCCACCTCAATCAAAGCATCGAGACGCTCGCCGAACTATTTCCCGAGTTCAAGATCGCCGTTTTCCGTGAGATGCTCGAGAGCTTTTCGCCCGAGTCCAGATTGTTTGTCATTGTAAACATGCTTCTGAAATGCCCCGAATCCTACGTGAAGGGCCGGATCAGAACACAAGAAGAGGAGGAGAGGGCGGTCGGTTCGAGACTCGCTATTTCCATGCACGACGTGTTCAAGACGAACGAATACAAGAAGGCGGTGCAGTCTCTGGCAGCCCGAGAGTTCCCGAACCTAGCGAAGAACAAACGCGATTCCATTCTCCTCGCTGCGAACTGGTCTTACCTCGAAGCCCGACCAACCCTGCTGGAAATGCACAAGAAGACCTGGAAGCACTTCTTCACTGATGTGGTTTTCCGGCAAAAGCCGATACGCTCCGATGAGGCTCGAGAGCACCCTCTGGTTATCTGGAAATCCTCGGGAAACAGTTCACACTTCCCATCCATCAAGGCCACTGGCAATGCCCAGCTTGATAGAGAGCTTTTTACGGCGCTAATCTTACCAATACAGAGGCGTGAACAGGCGATCACGGAGGAAAAGGACCGCGCTTTCGCCAAATCCCTTCGTGATGCAGAGGCGGAGGCTTGCGAGGCCATCCAGGAATGCGCCTGCTGTTTCACGGACTCGGTCGCGGAAGATTTCACGACCTGTACTTCTGGGCAGCACATGGTTTGCTTTCGCTGTGTACAGCACTCGATCAACGAGGCGGTCTTTGGCCAAGGCTGGCAGCGCATGATCAAGAAGGACACGGGCACTCTCGTCTGCCCGGCTCTTTCCAATCCAGAGTGTGTAGGCTGCATATCTTCGGGGGACATCGAACGTGCTCTGCGCGCGGAGAAGAAAGGACCTGAGATCCTCGCTCAACTGGACCAGCGTCAGGCTGAGCTGGGCCTAGCCGCCAGTGGGCTGCCCCTCATGAGGTGTCCGTACTGCAGTTACGCAGAGGTCGACGACTGCTACACGTCCCGTGGCATGCTGCCACCAAAACCAAACACCAGCACACTACTTGTTACTGTACTCCTTGTGGGTCTCATCTCTCTTCCGTTCCTCCCGCTTCCCTTGTCTCTATTGGTTCTCACCCTCTTCGGCGCTCAATTTCGCCTCGGCGCCTCGCTTCGGGATACTATATCCTGGAATATTCAGGCAGCTCGTAGTCGCCTCGAACGACGTCGGCGCGGTCTCAAGTTCGTCTGCCAGAACCCGGCCTGTGGGCGTTCATCGTGCATATCGTGCTCGAGAGCATGGGTGGACATCCACAACTGCAACAAACGCAGCACCACCTCCTTGCGCTTGGCCATGGAATCGGCCATGTCGTTGGCGGTCACACGGATGTGCCCGCGGTGTAATACGGCATTTGTCAAGAGCCGCGGTTGCAATAAGATGGCTTGCCCCTGCGGCTTGAAGATGTGCTACCGCTGCCGCGCAGACATCAGCGACGTAGGCTACCGGCATTTCTGCCAGCACCTCAGTCTCAACAAGGCACGCTGTACGGAGTGCAACAACTGCATGGTCTACGAAGAGGAGGATACTGGCGAGGTCCTGCAGATTGCCAAGACGGAAGCGTACCGTCAGTGGAGAATGGGCGGCAACGGCGACCTCACCACCGACGAGAAGCTGGCCCTCGAAGCAATCGTCGGTCCCTTCGACAGCTCCGATCCCCTGACCGTCACCGTACATCGCTTCACCAGCAAGCTACCCAGGCAAGAGGAGATATGGGATTTCATCGTACGGCTTTATTTGGATTAGACTTGCAAGCGAGAGTCTCGTTTCTGCATCGGATTACCGGACTTGGGTTCATTAGCGCGGTGTTTCTCTTGGGCGGCTTCTAAGATTCGGGTTCGCAAGGCAACAGGGCGTCGGTCTTTTGTTTTTAAACACGGAGTACTGGATCATCCAGACAATATACCCATAGACAGGATATCACTACCGCGCTTCGGTAGCCGCCCCCCCACTGAACTGAGTACTCATCAAATCTGTACGTTGGCACTTGCTCATTGTTGTCCTAACATCTGGCTCACCTCACGAATTTGTTGCTTCGCTCAGCTCCCCTCCAGTGGGTGGTCGTATGTTGGAGTCCGTGTGCTGTTGTTGGTGGCTCCCACACTAGGGCTTCGGAGTATCCTTATGACGATGACGGGGGCACATCGATTAGCATGCATTCATTCATTCCGTACTGGGCCAGAAGCACAAGCTCAGAGAGATGCGAAATAGGAAAGTAAAAGGAACATAGCTGACGAAGCCGATCTAACTCGTCGTACACACCGAGCTCTCCAGAAATCACGGAGCCTCCAGCCACAGTATCCAGAGCGCAAGAAGAAAAGACAGAAAGATGCTAAAGAATGACAAGCTGGGTCGAGCAAGAAAGGGGAAGACTGGGTTAACGACCAAAGCAACTTCATCGTCAGCCCATAGGGCCTGCTACTGCCAGACGCACGACCAGAGACACCATATGACACATCATCGAACCCTGGCAATATCGTGCAGGGCTCGCGGCCTATATCAGAATCCGGGGCTCTTGGAGTCTTGGGGACGACCATCGATATCCGGACACGAGAGGGTTGGGTGATGACCGCTACCACAGGGGACCCGACTCCTCGACTGTCTATTTTGACCCGGCCGGTACATCCGACCAGTATCTAGCATCACCCCCTATGTCAACCACACTATCTCCGGTCGCGGATGCTGGCACCGCAGCAGGCGGATACGAAATGTCGGGTACAGGACGTGTCGTGACAAATCAGTATCCCCCCGAAGGCGCGATGTCGACCGACCAGGCTGCAGGCTCAAGGCCAAGTTCCTGAGCTGGGGGTCTTTGCTTCGGTATTCTATGCACCCGTAGCGGATGTATTGGGAAGGAATGCAAAGGGAGACTTCCTGGTGCAGGCCATTGTCACGGCCGTCGGTCCTACTGCTGTTGTCGAGACGTGAGTCCAGGCAATGGCGGTCGGTAGTGGGTGAGGGCATGAGCGACTGAGATTGTTTCCGGGCGATATC